GGGGGGTGCTGGGAGAGCCTCGCCCTGGGAGGGTGGATGCATGGTCCAAGATGCGTCCATTTTTGGGCACGTCCACTGGGCGGTCTCCCGCCAAGGTAGGTCCCAATGGATCGACCTGACCAGTCGCGATCCATCTCACAAGGCCCCAGCCCGCTGTGCCGGCCAAAAGCCCCCCACTACCCTGTGGCTGGCCCTCCGCTCAGCCCTTCCCTGTTGCCCCTCGCCCTTCCGCCCCCCCCCCCCCTGGTCCTTGCCCCTCCTCCCTCCGATCACCACCACCGCATCCTGGATCGACACCGCCCCCCGTCTGCCAAGCCCACAGCATGACTTCCAGCGATGTGCCGGCCAGCTCGGCTGCAGCCCCCGCGGAATTGCCCTTCATCGCGGCCATGGTGCCCCTCTTTGCGCGGCTGCTGGAGGATGTTCACCCGAGAACGGTGGTCCCAGCGGCCGCCGGGCCCGCCACAGCCGAAGTGCGCTTGGCCTTTGTCTTCGAGCCAATTCGCCTGGCCGAGCTGCCGGTCGAGGGCGCCGCCGGCCATGCTGAAGCCACTGGCACGCCCGATGTCGGGGGGTCATTCGCCGAGAGTGCTCTCACCGGGCAGCCTACCGACACCGATGCCTTCCGTCTGACCGTGCTGGCCCTGCAAGCGGCCGGCGCGGGCTCGGCAATCACCCTGGTTGCCGGTTTGACCGCGCGGATTTATGGGCCGGCCTGCCGATTCCCGCCCAACCGGTGCGTCGCGCGTGCCTCCCGATCATCGGCCAGCCGGTCCCCGGCAACCGCCATTTAACATGCTTGCCCGCCTTCCCTCCTTCCTTCTCCCGGGCGCAGGGGTCTCGTTCACCTGGAGATGGTCGACACCACGGGGTGTGGGCACCCTGCCACGGCAGTCGGCGAGCCGGTCCTGCCGGCGCTTAAGTCCGCCATTTGCCAGGGCCTGACGGCCGCCTTCATTGGGGCGTGTGCCTTGCCAGCCTTCGGCCTGCGGATCGTGCGTGTTCACGCCCGACCGGCGCCGTGGTACCTCTTCCCTCAGAGTGATCTAAATCCTCGCAAGTTCCGGGTGCGCATCACACACACACACATGCATGCATGTAACCGCACACCCGCACACAGGCATACGCATTGCCACGTTCTCCGGCCACGCCAAGTCCCAAGCTAATCCCTCGAGATTGTTTGCCCTTCCGCCATCCTGCCGGGCCCACAGCAAACCACCCATCGTAAGCTGTCCCCGATCGTGCGTGCCTTCCCTCTTTCAGGTCGACTGATCCCGCTGCCCCTTGTTATACTGACCGAATAGCTGAATCAGCGCCTGGCCGAGTGGTGGGGACAGGTGTTGAAGCTGGTCGAGCAGATCGGCGCGCTGGGCTTTGGACGGTGCTTCCATGCGCTGCCCGATGTGATGACCATGTGCGCCTTGTGTCCTCTTGCCCTGTGTCCTCTTGCCCAATGCTGACATCCACTTCGCAGGCGACTTCGTCGGACCCTGCCAGCCAAGATGGGCATCGGCTTTGCTTGCAGCACTCCGGGCGACAGCACCACCACGGACGCCACCTGGGCCTCCAACTGGTTTGGTGGGCCGGAAGACGCCGGGTCACAGCCACTGCAGGAGCGCCTCGGCCCTGATGACGCCTTGGCCAATGCCACCATCGCCGCCGATCGCGCTCCCCCCCTGAAGCAGGCCATCAACTCGGTGCTGGCTGGCGGGGACTCCGTCCTCTTTGTCATGGCCCTCCAGTCCTCCCAGTCAGAGGGCCAGCCGCACGGTGGCAGCCAGGCACTCGTCAGGCCCCTGGGTGTCGAGGATCTGTCCTCTTTGGGAGTCCTGCCGCACTTCACCCCGGTCTCCAGCCCACTGGCCGGGGACTTTTCCTCGGTCGAAGCATGTGAAGCAGCCTCTGACCGGTTCTGGCGGCAAGTCTCCGGTCTGCTGGACCACCAATCCGATCAATCGGATCCCCCCCTTGGGCCCATGTGCCTCCTTGCGACATCGAATGTGCGACTGACCTTCCGTCGGGAGGCGGCCGAGGCGGCTTCGGCCGATTCCCGCGCGCAGCCAATTAGCACGCTCACCGTGCGCAAGAAGCCACGGACCGCTTGAGACGCGAGTCACACAAAAAGGATCAACATGCACAATCAGTATTCTTGTGTTGTGGGAAGATACATGTATGCCCTGGCATTGGGGGTGGGGAGGGAAGAAACCGAGGGCCAAGCATGGGGACAAGGACAAGGGATGACTAAAGGCGCATGCGCATGCACGCGCGTTGTTTTTTTATGTTCTATGGGAAAGGGATGTAGTGTATGGGTGTGAGGTGTGGGTGTTTGTGCGTGTGTGTGTGTGTGTGTGTGTGTGTGTGTGTGCACATATATATATATATATATATCTGTGTGTGTGTGTGTGTGTGCAGGTGTGCCTCCTTCTGATCACTACCCTGTCGAGCCGGGGTCCGCCGGCAGACCAGCGCCAGCTGGAGGGGGGCTTGTGGATGGAGCCGGTGAAGTGTTCTGCGAGGAGGGGGGACTGGTGCCGGCCGCGGCGGCCGGGTTGAACAGGTTGTGCTCAGCGATGTACTCAGCTACGCTGTCGGGGACCAGGTAGCGGATGGACATCTGTTTAGAAAGAAGCTCGCTGTTGATGAACGCACGCGCGCGCGTTTTTTTTGGGTATGTGTGTGTGTGTGTGTGCGTGTCAGTGTGTCGGTTCTCCATGAGTCTCGGAGCCCAAATATAAGGCCACGCACCGGACTTTGGTCGAGGAAACATCATTGTTCAAGAGCTGTGGCACCACGATGAAGCGATCCTGTATGCATGGATGGGGGGGGGGGGCGGGGGGTTGTGGGTGCATGTGAAGCGACGAGAGGAGGAGAAGGGAAGAGGATGGAGGGTGGAGTTGCTGGTTAGCAGATGAGAGAGCCCGGCGTATCAATGCTACCGGCACAAACGTACCTTGTATTTGGAGAGGATGGGCGAGGCCGCAATGACCGCCTTGAGGTCGGTCCCCTGGCGCTCAATCACCACAACGCCATGCTGTGAGATGATTTCATCAAGCTGCATGGGCAGGCGTGTTGTGTTAGATGATGTTCGGTCCATTCCTGCTGGAAGAAGGAGAAAAAGGGCAAGGGAGAGAAATTGGAAAAGGGCGAGGGAGGATAGGGAGAGATAGAGAGAGAGAGAGGGAACGAGGAGGACAAAGACAGAGAGCAAATGGAGACGCACATCCTCGTCGGCCCACAGGCCGGGAACATTAAACGAGTCAATCAGGTCCGCCCCGCATAGGAGCATGACGCCGATGTCCACCGGCGAGTCGGCCGGGATGTTCAAGTTGACTGTTGAGTAAACATGCTTCAGCACCCGCGCGGTGGGAGTCCACTCAAGCTGGCTCATTTCCCAATCATCGACCACCAGCCAGTCGCTGGTGGCGGTGGCCAGTCGGCAGAGGCGCAGCCGATGGGCCGGGGCCAGGAGATTCGGCTTGGCGTAGGCCGGATGGACGGGCGACACGATGCCGGCAATGGCCGCCAGCTCGGGGTGGTTCAAGCGAATGTGGTCACGAGCCATCTCTGTGCCATTGGCAATGGTGTGGCAGCGCAGCAGCAAGGTCCACAGGTGAAGGGGAACACGTCAGCTCATAGCGCCCGAGAAGGGAGCCTTCCTCAAGAGGGGGATGGAGGAGGAGGAGGAGGAGGAGGAGGAGGAGGAGGAGGAGCAGCAGCAGCAGGGGGAGAGGGCGCCAGGGCATGGGAAGAGGACTGGTCATCCAGCAAGAAGCCGGCCAAGAGTGAAGCGGCCGCGGGGCGTACCAAATATCCGGAGGTGCATATTGGTGATCGGGGAGAAGGACCCACAGGCCAGGAGGACCAGCGGCTTGACGCCGGCCCCGTAGTTGGAGCCAGGAGACGAGGCACGCTCGGCGGCGAAGTCCTCGACGCTCGGCCCGACGTCGTGGCCCGGTGGCGGGGTCCCCGGCCGGGGGTCACTGACCCCGGGGGTCATGGCATCCGAGTCGGGTGACCGGCCGGCCGAGGTGGTGACGGTGGCCGTCATCGACGGCCCGGAAGTGAAGCCCGGCCACCGGAGGTACAGCATGTCCAAGGGCGGCTGGTTGGGTGCCGCGGCCAGGGCCGCCTCGAGCTGCTCCGGAGACAGGCCCAGTGCCACAACATCAGCCGCCAGCCGAGCGAAGGTCATGCATGTTCCCTCGGGGCCGGCCGCCAGGGAGGCGGTAATCCAATTGGCGAAGTTCGAGCTCAGATGCGGCGAAGGAGGCCGGTAGTTTGACGGAGAAGACAGGTCCATGGCGGAGGCATTGTGAGTGGTGGCCGCCGCGGCTGCCGTGGTCGTCTCCACCGGCATGTCCGTCCGGCAGGCGGCCGCAGCATCTCGGTGACCGGCATGCCCGGGTGGCGGCACTTGACCTGGCATGGTGGCTGGGAGGAGTTGCTATATGGATGTACGACACATGTGTGCGTGTGTGTGCGTGCGTGTGTGTGTGTGTGTGTTTATGTACAAGACGAGGGGGGGGGAGGGGGAGGTGGGTAAGTCGATCTGAATGTATGGCGGCGTGCGAGGGTGGGCCCATCCGCGCGCGCGG